CCGAAACAATAAATGAAAATTTTGCAAATGAAGTATTTAGTCTATGATTCTCAGATTTTTCACTAAGAAGTTCTGTAATTTTATCGTCGATTACATTAGAATGTCCCTATTTGTGTTTTCGTTCACTACGGTGGTACTGATCAATCACTTCGATTATATCTATTTTAATCTTGATGTAGTTAACTTAGTTGAATCTTTAGGATTTATCCTCGAAGTTAGTTCACCAATAGGATTACTCTCAACATATGTCACATTTTTGTACTCTTAACTATTACTTCAGTGTCTTTAGCTAAAATGAATAGCTCGCTGGATTTTAACGATTAGCAAACTAATGTTTCGTTTCCAGCACATTATTTACATTGGAGAGAGTTTTTAAACGAAATAGCCTTTATATTTTGTATTCAAGCTTCAGTTATTGTCACATTTATTATTATTTTTTGGATTGAGATCATGAATTGATGAATGTTAAACCACCATTGAAAACCAGGAAGAGCTGGACGTCTGTCAAGAGAATCCTCAGCAGTACGCGTATACGATCCTGCTTGCGGGATTTGAATCCAGGACCTTCGGTCTCGTGGGCGAACACTTAACCTCTAGATCATTGTCTTTCCTATTTGTTTAGTTTATTACAAGAAAATCAAGCAGACAGATTCATTAAAATCATTAGATTGATAGACTCACTATGAAATAAATCATCTGAGTAACAGTAGTCACTTGACTAATCATTATATCAATCTAATTATCTTATATGACAAAAGTCTGAAAAGTTTAAATATTCACTAAACATCATCTCTAGTTACAGTTATTCACAGTTAATGTATGGTTGGGATACACTTATTCATAAGGGCATATATATAAATTCAAAATAAACCAGTGGAGCTAATCCGTGTCGAATAGAGACAGGTATCTACCTCAGTACAATGGATGGTGGTCTCACAATTTCGTGGAATGGTTGAGGTTAGACATTAACACTATTTGTTGCCAGCTCAGTGGTCCAGTAGGTTAAGCGTTCACGAGCGAGACCGATAGGTCCTATGTCCGAATCTCATGTGGTGGGATCATGAATACGCACTGCTGAAGAGTCCTAAAATAGGACGAAACGGCTGTCCAGTGCTTCCAGGTTTTCCATAATGCTCTAGCCTCAATTGACTCATGATTTTAACTATTTAAAAATAATTTGGGTTGATCATTAAAGTTATTTATAAACAGTTGGAAAAGTACACCACTTTTTTTACTGATACCACACACACACACACTTTGAAATCAGTAAAAACTTAGATGTTTTAAACTTATGTACGTGACAAGTCATGATCAACAAGAATACAATGAGGTTAAGTTACTTATTGTTAGGTACTTAATAATGGAGCATTTTAAAGTAATGATATTCCCATAAGATTCAACTCCATGTTTAGTTATGAATTCTATTAGATTTTCTTCTAGTCAGTACCAACATCATGATGTCATTCGTTTGGTACTGGATAATTGAGGGATATCAAAGAGAAAATGTTACTTTCTTCAGGCTGTTTGAGATATTTCATGACAATAAGTGCTAAGTTCCATATAAACTTACTCCTGGATATTGTTATAACTTATGCCCTGTCCTGTTAATGTATAACGTAATGACACTGAGAACTAAGGAACAGTGAATTATCGACCGGACCAATGACGCATAAAACAAGTACGAGCAGTCCAGAGTACTTATCTGTCCTGCTTGCCGCCTAGCCCAGCCTGATCAACTAACCTTAATCTAACTCTTTAATGATCACTACAGCTACCATTACAAACCAAGTTGTAAGGTTGAATGTATTCGAAACTTAATCATTTAATTTTCTAAATCAAATATCGATTACTTTTCTGATTATGCAACACTCTCTAATGGCATTAATTTCAAAAACATCATCAGATCACAGTAGTTTCATCAATCAACCCAACAAACATAACATCATCGAAACCCAGTTATTTGAGCAACAAATCTCTTCGATCACTTGAGAATCTTACCAATATAAATCCATTTTTCTGAATAGGAGTTACTATCTAATCCCTATAAGTTATGGACATTTTATCGCCCTTGAACAAATCAATGAAACAACAACTATTAACAGTATGGGGTTGGGAAGATGGTTAAGTTTTTGATTGAGGTCATTATGTGATTGATGTTAGACCACCATTGAAAACCTGGAAGCACTGGACGGTTGATAAGCGCGTTCACACTCAGTACTGAATGCTTTGAGTTCGATTCCCGCGAGCGGGATCGTGGATACGCATTGCTGAGGAGTCCCACAATAAGACAGAATGGCCATCCACTTCTTCCAAGTTTTTAATGGTGATCTAACATTAATCGATTCATGATTTCAATTAAAGACAAATAATTAATGTAGAAATTCTTAATTATCACAGTAATTTCATCAAAACCCTATGAAAACATAAACAACAAACATCTTCAGCTATGTAATTCAGTCAATCAATCAATATTTAACTGGTTGAAATCATGAGTCAATCGAAGCTAGACCACCATGGAAAACCTGGAGGCACTGGACGGCCGTTCCATCCTATTGCGGGACTCCTCAGCAGTGCGCATCCACGATCCCGCCCCGTGCGAGATTCGAACTCAAGACCTATCAGTCTCACGCCAGGCGCTTAATTAACTAGACCGGATGCCTGCTCAGTGGTCTAGTCGCTTAAGCGCCTGGCGTGAGACTGATAGGTCCTGTGTTCGAGTCTCGCGGGGTCCAGTATCGTGAATGCGCATTGCTGAGGAGTCCCATACTAGGACGAAACGGCCGTCCAATGCTTCCAGGTTTTTACCATAGTTGTCTAGCTTCAATTGACTCATGATTTCAACCAGTGAAATTTCTAAAATCTCCACAAAACCCCTTTCTGATAACAACCAATATTTCCTTCATATCACCTCTAATCATAAATCTCACTAAAAGTGAAAGAATGTTGTATTTGTGAAATCTCAGCGAAACAATTTGAAACATTTTGGCTAACAATCTAGTCTAAAACTTTTTCAAGGATCAAATCAATTCAAAGCCCTCAAAATATTCAATCAAAATTTAGACGAAACTTCTTATTTATCATAAATCCAACTGTTTTTAAATTGTAACTATGATAGTGAAACAATCAAACAAACAAACAAACAAACAAACAAACACACACACACACGCATACTGACTTTCCACAATTCAATTGTTTATGGTATCATAATACTCTATTGGTTTAATAGTTTTAGGAATTGATGGACAGATTGTAAAACGTAACAAATAAACTGAGAATGTCCCAATTGACTGATGAATGATAAATTTCATTCTTATTCAACAAGAAGAATGTTGATATAAATGAGTTTTTCTTCGTTGTTTCTTTCTTTCTTTCTCTTTTGCCAAGAAGAAATTAATTGATATCTATTGTCAGTTTCAGTATAGGTAAATCATGAATGAATGAAGTAATAATCAGATACACAGAGAGAGAGTGTGTGTGTATGTGTGTAATTGAGTGACTGAGTGATAATTAATAGCTGTTTTCGTAGTGGAAAACCAAAGAACCAGAAATATTTTCTGATGGATATCGTCATGACTATTAAATAATACACTGATGTCATCCTTTATTTCTCTTGTGTATGTGGGCGGGGGGGGGGGGTTGTCTCCACTAAAAGTTAGTTCATTTATGGCATTCAACTAATTGGATTATTGAGAAATCAAGATTTTTTCTTTATCTGTTCATGTATATGAACAGATGCATATTTTTCTGTATTGACAATGTCTAGTAACAATATAATAAAATTATACGTGAAGATGACTACATTCATCATGTACACTAAAAGATCGTTTATATGTTTGTACTATTGTTATCAATACTATTGGTACTACTACTGCTGTCGTGAACAAGAACACAGGTGGAGACTACTATTCTTAGCTTACCAAAAAATTACTGAGTTCATTGGTAATATGTGAAAACTATACATTCAATATTTCATTTAGAAATCCTCCATAACAAGTACTCTTTGTTCTCATTCTCTTTAATTCAACCTTCCTGACTTTCTGTTTTCAGGCATTCCACATTTGATTAGTGTTACATACTACATTTACAACTGCAAAATATCTAAAATTCAAAACGACTGTACATGAGCCAACACTAAGGTGAGAATTTTCAATATAAATGTATGGGGTGGGAACCTGGAGAACTACGAAAGCCATCATTCAGAAGATACAACTGTTTATTTACAGTTTTCTAAACAAAATACTTCGGATCCGTTGGTCGGACACTATCAGCAACAACCTACTGTGGGACAAACCAGAACAAACCAGATTACAGTGGATAAGGAAATTAGGAAGAAGTGCTGGAAGTAGATAGAACACATATTGAGGAAAGCACTCAACTGTGTCACAAGGCGAGCCGTCACATGGAATCCTCAAGACCAAATGAGGCGAAGAGGAAGACCAAAGAACACATTACTTTGGGAAATGGAGACAGATATGAGGAAAATGAACAAAAAATTGGATAGAACTAGAAAGGAAGGCAGAGTGGGACAGAGTGGGTTGAAAAATGCTGGTCGTCGGCCCATGCTCCATTGGGAGTACGTAAGTAAGTAAGTACATACTATGTATATCTGTCGACATAAGTTGAATATATCACTCTACTATTTCTAACAATACAAATTGAAAAATACATTCATAGAAATATACATCAACAGATATAGACAATTTTGAAAAACAATAGTCGTCTACATATCTAGATTCATGTATCTATGTATACACAATTCATCTATCGACACATGTCAACTATACAAAACATAATTCAAAATGTCATAATCTACTAAATATCTTTGTCATGTCTAATCGATCTGTACATGTTTCATCATGATCATCATCTTCATAAAACGATGAATAAATTGCTTTTATGTTTGCTTTTATTGTCGTCATCTCTCCTTCTCTCTATCTCGCACTCGCTCTTTCTCCCTTCCTCAAATAATCAAAAAACACTAATTGTACGTAACTATGATATTACAATCTATTATTCCAATTATTATTATTAATATTATTTGTAGTAGTAGTAGTAGTAGTAGTAATGGTAGTAGTAGTAGTAGTAGTAGTAGTAGTAGTAATGGTAGTAGTAGTAGTAGTAGTAGTAGTAGTAGTAGTAGTAGTAGTAGTAGTAGTAGTAGTAGTAGTAGTAGTAGTAGTAGTAGTAGTAGTAGTAGTAGTAGTAGTAGTAGTAGTAGTAGTAGTAGTAGTAGTAGTAGTAGTAGTAGTAGTAGTAGTAGTAGTAGTAGTAGTAGTAGTAGTAGTAGTAGTAGTAGTAGTAGTAGTAGTAGTAGTAGTAGTAGTAGTAGTAGTAGTAGTAGTAGTAGTAGTAGTAGTAGTAGTAGTAGTAGTAGTAGTAGTAGTAGTAGTAGTAGTAGTAGTAGTAGTAGTAGTAGTAGTAGTAGTAGTAGTAGTAGTAGTAGTAGTAGTAGTAGTAGTAGTAGCAGTAGTAGTAGTATTAGTAGTAGTAGTATCACTGAGCATTTTACTCTGATAACTAGCTAATACTTACAAATAATATTGATTTTTTGTTCATATTACTTGTATTGTGGCATGCGCTACTCATATACACATAAGTAGTATATAACGATAGTCAAGAATAGAATGGATTTCAGTAAAAGATCGAGAAGGAAAGAATGGGAACAGAAAGCAATTGATATGAAATGCAGAAACAATGAAATCTGAGACGATGAACTGAGATTTACAAAACAAAAACAGTCAAGTTTGAGACAATGGATTGATATTTTGCAAATGAAGTATTTACTGCATTGTTCTCAGAGTTTACTGACTGTTCCCACTCGTTTTCTTGTTCACTACCGTATGTGTTCAAAAATCTAGAAGTTTATCAGAATTGTGTGATATATTTGCGCAATACATTTCGAACAATCTGTTCACACCTAATATACTTGTTAAGACATCTTTTATACGTGAATTAAAAGGACAAATAGACAGGTTAAAGGTAAGAAATAATAATAATAAAGTGCACAAAGACAATGTGATAACCACTCTGGATAATAAATCTGTATTACTAGGGTAGGTTAAGCGTAAGGACAAACTGTTTTTTAAGGCACAAAGGGGGTTTCAGTTTCCGTATAAGGAAGGCTTCAATAAACCTCAGTATACGTTCTTGAAGGCTTTTGTATAACACTACAAATACTGATTTGATGTCAACCTTATAACCAGTTTGAATCAAATGTTTCACAATGGAGGATGATTGAATTAGGTAAGTAGTAAGTTGTTTACTTAAATATCTATATATGAAACATTAAGTTACACATCATCGTGGACTGACCATAGTTAGATAACCCTTAAAAAAAACCACGAATCAATGAACAACTATTTAAATTCTAATATTGAATTACCGTATAACCTCAGTTGGAAATCAAAAAAACACAGATCTAACCGTCAGACATGGAAGTCATGAGTTCGATTACCTGATAGGATACTGAATATGCACCCAATTATTTATCCATAATGTTTTCCAACAACAATGATAACAATTTTCTACTAATGAGAAAGAATCCATTAGTCAATATAAGTTTCAATAGTTGAAATCATGAGTTAATTAAAGCTAGACCACCATAGAAAACCTGGAAGCATTGGGCAGCCGTTTCGTCCTAGTATGGGACTCTCCAGCAGTGCGCATCCACGATCCCCCCGCGAAATGGCCGTCCAGTGCTTCCAGGTTTTCCATTGTAGTCTAGCTTCAATTAACTTATGATTTCAACTATTGACATTACTAAAATCTTCACAAAACCTCTTCTGACAATATAAGTATGTTTGTTTCTTTGTTTGTTTTGCAAATTCAATATTCAATGCCAATTTACGCTTAATTATACATTACAATACAGGCATAAAAATTGGTTTTTATTTTCAACTATTCAATGGTTTATTTAGATTTTAACCAATTTTCCCAATTATAATTTCAGATTATTGATAGAAACCAGTCTTAATAACTATGCACATATACAGATGTATCTATTAGATTCTTTAAGCCTGAATTCCAATATCCATTCATCCAACCAACCAACCAACCATCCATTCATCCATCCATCCATCTATCAATCAATTCAATATCACTGATCAAATTACCTACATCAGTTAGAAATCTTACAATGTCCACAAATTTATCATTCTCAGATTAATTGAATGTTTATGTAAACAAAATGAAGCGGAACTTCTTCTTCTTCTTCTTTGCTTTTTTTCTTTCTTTTTCTTTTCTTTTTTCTTTTTCTTTTTTTTGAAATGAAATTTTGTGCTACAGTTTGTTGTTTCAATTTTTTTTTATTCGTTTCTCTTTGCACAAGAAATAGAAGAAAAAGTTTATTGTAAACAATGCAAAAAAGCTTTCACGCACACACACATAAACAAACAAACAAACAAACAAACACAAACATACACTTAGAGATATACTGAATTTGTGTAATGATATTCCTTTTTCTAGTTAACTGTACTAATTAGCTGAACAGCTGCTTTTTTCCCCTCACACACACACACTCTCTCTCTCATCCCTTTAATTGTCGATTGAATATCGAGTAAAAATATTCAAATGATAAATATTCATGAAACAAGTGAACATTGTGTTATGTTATTCATTTATCCTCCAACTATTCATCATTAATTGAATGGTTGAGATTATGAGTCAACTGAAGCTAGACCACCATGAAAAACATGGAAGCGTTTCATCCTATTTTGGGACTTCTCAGCAGTGCGCATCCACAATTGTGGGTGTTTCGCTCATTTTCGTGGATTAGTTGAAGTTAGACATCAACGTCATCGGATGACTGCTTAGTGGTCTAGTGGTTGAGCGCTCGCGTCCGAGACTGATAGGTCCTGGGTTCAAATTTCGCAGGAGACGGGATTTTGGATGCACACTGCTGAGGAATCCCATACTGAGAAAAAAAGGCCGTTCATTGCTTCCAGGTTTTCCATGATGGTTTAGTTTCAACTGACTCATGATCTCAACTATTGAAATTCCTAAAATCTGCACAAAAACTCCTTCTGATTTGAATGAATTTGTCCGTCTTATTGATGAAAAAATGTGTTTATAATACTAATTACTTTTTGCAAGGTGTTACGTAATAATAAAAAATTGGATTTCAGTTCTTATTTTGTTTATTTGCGTTACGTTTTGTTTATGGTAAAAATTAAGACGAAAAACCCCAGCATACTAACCATTCTTATGGCCAGACCAAAACATGGCACATATCTATGAAGTCACTGACTAGTGAACCGAGTGAGCTATGTTGGTAGGTGTAGACTACCTGGTTGGGATCCGCGAGACGATAGTAAACGATGGTTAAAGACCCTGAATGACATGACTCAAAATCGTTTGCAATGGCTCAGGTGCATCCATACTTTGTGTTCTCCCAAATTCTAATCTTCTGAATTCTTCATGTCCCTTTTCTTCTTCTCTTTTCAAATTTATTTCACTGGATTATATTCCTTGAATAACATCTGCAAACCCTAATCTTTCCGATTACTACTTATAATTTTACTACCTCTACCACTATGGGATTTGAGTCGATAACTGCATCTCTGTGCTAATGTGGTGTGACAACTCAAACTAATGTATGTACATACGATGTTCTACGTTGTTAATGACTGACTGACTGAACCATTCTTATGAGCGGTAGTATGAGTGTTCATATTATTAGTATTAGAAGGGGTTTTGTAGAGATTCTAGTAATTTCAATAGTTGAGATCATGTGTCAATTGAAGCTAGATCATCATGGAAAACCTAGAAGCATATTATTAACCTATTTATAATTTATGAGATCTTTAATAAGAAAACACTATCATTTATCAATACCATCTATTGATGGAATCCAACATAAGTATTTCAACTTGTAGAATATCAGTTCATAGAAACTAATAAATGTGGTTTAAAATACCTAAATAAATAAAGTTGATACAAATGATATAACTGAATCCATATATAAATAGGGTTCATAGACATTTAAGGTACTTGAAACACTCTAAAAATTTGCCAGTATTATCACTGGATAAAACTATCATCTCTATACCTTCTATCTATGATATAAATATTCAGATAAAAAGTGAAGCCCTAAAATATAAGAAGTTGTTAATTGTTTACTCCTGTAACATTAGTATTCATTATAAATGAATAATGCGCGGATCGGCAAACCAAGAGCAGCATATTTACAACTGAGGAACATCTGGAACTCAAAGCAACTGTCAACCAACACCAAGGTCAGGGTTTTCAATACAAATGTCAGGACAGTTCTACTGTATGGGGCAGAAACCTGGAAAACTACGAAGGGCATCATCCAGTATATACAGGTGTTTATTAACAGTTGTCTACTCAAAATACTTCAGATCCATTGGCCGGACACTATTAGCAACAACGTACTGTGGGAGAGAACAAACCAGATCCCAGCGGAGGAAGAAATTAGGAAGAAGCGTTGGAAATGGATAGGACACAGATTGAGCAAAGCACCCAACTGCGTCACAAGAAAAGCCCTCACATGGAATCCTCAAGACCAAATGAGGCGAAGAGGAAGACCAGAGAAAACATTACTTTGGGAAATGGAGACAGACATGAGAAAAATGAGCAAGAATTGGATGGAACTAGAAAAGAAGGCCCAGGACAGAGTGGGTTGGAGAATGCTGGTCAGCGGCCTATGCTCCATTGGGAGTAACAGGCGTAAGTAAGTAATTTATAAATGAATAATAAAGATACAAACAATTATAACTTGATGATACTTGAACTTGACAGAATAATGTAAATAGATGATGATATCAATCGATGACTTCAACTAGACACTTATTTAATCGGTTAATTAAGACTGTATAACCGAATTAGCCCTCAAATGCCCTGGTACGGCCAAGAGTGGGGAGAGTCAACTCACCCTCTCCAAACTCTCTCACATAGCCACTGCATACAACCATTACCAGGGAAGTCCTACACACTACCTTCTCGTGACACTACTGTTGTTTACGAAATTGAGAGGATGAAAAGCGAATGTCCGGCGCTTTAACCAGGTCGGTGAACACACTGAGTTCACCTAGGGGAGTTGGAAAACCCTGATTTCAAACCGATTGTGTAAATGAGTTCCAGTATCCCAAAGGAAAAATTGGCGCATGAACCAATTGTTGGTCACCGGCTATCATGGGACTGCATCTCCGTACGATTCTCTACTGCCTTGTAGATCAGACCTTTAGGTCGAAGTTCCTGCATGTGGCCCTCTAAGAAAACCACCTGTTTCGGTTTCGACACCCAGGTAGTATCAGAGTCTACACACAAATCAAATGACCTAAGTAGTGCATATCTATTTGTTGCCTTCTTGTACCTATGTTTATGTGTTTAAATAAATAGACAGATTATGAAGTAGTTTTTTTTTCGGTGTTGTAACAAATCTCTCGCTTCCTAACTGTTGTATACTTCTAAGTAAATCATGAATCATATTATTCTGTAATTAACGTCCTATCAACAACTAACCTGTATTAATAAGTGATATTGA